AATTTTTTCATATATTTATATATATTATATATATGTATATATATATATATGAAAAATATACCAAAAATGCATGTGGGTATTCAAATGAAAGCTCTTGATGAGTGTAACATCAGGATGAGCTTACATCTTTAAACACGTCAATAGTTAAGAAAGTACAGTGCAATTCAACAATTATCTTGAAAATTATTGACGTTTTTAAAGATATAAACTCATCTCGATGTTACACTCATCACGACCTTTTATTTGAGTACCCACATAAATTTTTCACATATTTATATGAATTATATAATATATATATATATATATATGTATATATGAAAAATATATCAAAATGCATGTGGGTACTCAAATAAAAGCTCTTGATGAGTGTAACATCAGAATGAGCTTATATCTTTAAAATGTATATTACATAATTAAGAAATGACCTTGTATTTTGTGAAATGTTGACATTGTTAATGATATGAGCTCATCCCGATGTTACTCTTATCAAGACCTTTTATTTGAGTACCCACATCAATTTTTTCATATATTTATATATATTATATATATAATATATGTATCAAAATGCATGTGGGTACTCAAATGAAAGCTCTTGATGAGCGTTATATCGAAATGAGCTTACATCTTTAAAAATCTTAATAATTAAGAAATGACCTTGTATCTTGAGAACTATTGACATTTTTAAAGATATAAACTCATCTCGATGTTACACTCATCACGACCTTTTATTTGAGTACCCACATCAATTTTTTCATATATTTATATATATTATATATATGTATACATGAAAAATATATCGAAATGCATGTGGGTACTTAAACAAAAGCTATTGATGAGTGTAACATCGGGATGAGCTTATATCTTTAAAAACATCAATAGTTTAAAAAAATACAGTACAATTTAATAAAATTTATTATTTAATAAAGCAAAAGTTTCTTCAGAAAAGCATATGAAACATTAGAAAGGCACTAATTAAAGTCAAGACCTTCCCAATAATACTAAATTTTATTTAAAAAAACAATTTTATCATATAAGTATGTCGAAAACAAAATTTCTTGTATTCTTTTAATTTTTCAAACGTTATTCAAGTATTATTTTTTTTTTTTCAGTGTATAGAAGTATTACTTAATCAAATTAAAATAAAATATTTACACATGAGTATTCAAACAACTAGCGCTTGTTAGAACTAAAAATGGTTTTAGTAAAGATCCACTGCAATAAAATTTGTTTATTTTTCCCTCTGGTTGAAATTCATCAAATTCAGATTGATAAGTTTTTATTTCAATAACAACTGTCCAAGCATGATCCCCTAATTGAAGTACATCAACAGTATTTTGTTGACCGATTGTTTCATTTTTTGGACAAGTCACATCTCTATAACTATCACTACTATCTAATAAAAATATTAATAAAAATAAATAAATAATTCTTTCCATTATAACTTATTATATTGTTTGTATCACTGAATTTTTATTTTACTCTAGTTTTTAACTTTGAAGTAATTACATTGCGCGTTTAATGAACAACTTGTCACTGTTTTCAGGTAGATAAAAATAAATGTGACAATAAAAAATTTATAACATTAAAAAGCAATTAGCGCTCTATAGTCTTTAAAATGAAACAATTAAATATTGTATCTGTGTTTTTTTTGATTGAAGAAATTAACCGAGTTTTTTTTTTTAATTTTTTTTTCAGTAACTAAAAACATTTCTAACATATTTGAATGATTTTTTTTCTAAATTAACAAGATATTAACAGGAATGAACAGAGTAAATAAATCAACGACTTTGCAGTTACTGTCGAAAGTATGGAGCGGACAATCTGGAGTTCTAGCTGGAAAACAGGCTGAAGAAAAAATGACTTCAATTTTGAGAAATAAATTTCCAAAAGCTCAAACTATTGAAGTTAACGATATTTCAGGTATTAATATTTGTTTAATTATATGATAATTATTTCTTGTATTACTGATAAATTTATTTTAGGCGGATGTGGAGCCATGTTCGAAGTAAATGTTATTACTTGTGAGTTCGACGGACTAAGTACTGTTAAGCAACATCGACTTATCAATGATGTAAATCAATTATATAAATTATCGTAGCTTTTAAATATTTTACTTTGATAATTAATTACTTTTTTATTTACAGACTCTTAAAAATGAAATCAAAGATATGCATGGAATAAGAATTAGTACTGGATTGCCAGATTCTTCATAATTTTTTATTATTGTAGATTAATTATTCATGTACATATTTGGAAATACACTTTTTAATATCACTTTTTTTTTTAATTATTTTAATTGAACATTTGGTTTAGATTTATTGCTAATATATGCCGAAAGATAATTGTTCACTATTAATTAAAAACATTTGGAATATTTTTATTTTTTTTACTTACTGAAAGTTTAATTTTTTAGTTAATATAAATAAATAAAAATACAAAACAATTTTTTATCTTACTCTATATTTTTTTTATATAATAGTTAAATTATCAGGAACTGGGACAGGAAAAAATACCCAGTGCTAGATTTTTAAATGTTGCAACGTTTCGTTTACTATTATATTTTATATCATGGATGATAATATAAATGAGAATATATTTTTTATTTTAGTAGAATTAAATTATAAAGTACAGATTATCATACTTATATGTAGATAAAAAAATATAAATTTAAAGAGCAATTAGTATACTAATTGACTATTAAATAAATTTATGATTTATTTTCTTGTTTTTATCTATTTATAAAAATAATACATTTTTTAATTCATATTTTTTTTTAATAATCAAATTTGTTTGGTGTAATTAAAACAATTTAATAATTTTCAGTGATCAATAATTTGATTTTTTTATTTTTTATTTATAAAAAAAAAATGGAGAACAATATTTAAAAAAATTTTTAATTTTTAATATTTAGCACTTGACAAAAATAATTTATTGTAATAAAAATTTTAATTGATAGATTTGGTAATTTTTAAAATAAATTATAATGAAATTTAAATAAAAAAAAAATAAAAAATTATAAATGGCGGCTAATTTTAGTTTCATAATTTAAAAATAGTTTTCCCGCGCAATTTAACCCCCGTTACCGACCGAGCGCCGGAAGCACTTTCTGGTTGCTTCCTGTTACACAACAAACAGTGGAGAGAGTATCATTAGAACGTGGAGTGATTGAAGTAGTATGTAAACAAAATAGTCTTATCAAAAAATACAAAACACGCGTGTCGTGCCTTTCAATAACATATTCGTATCGCTAATATTAGTTTATCGGGAGTTATTACGCGGTAATTCGGCATATGCTGGTTAAAATGGTGAGTAAATGTGCACGCAATATAAAATAAATACAATCACTGACATTTTTTTATTTTTTTCCCTCTAAAATGCGAGATAAAAAATGAAACGTCGATAAACAGTCACTTGAGATTTAAAAAAGTGACTCAGTAATATCACTTATTATTATCATTGTCAGTTATCGCAATTAATCTTATCAATATAATAGACGCGTCGTTTCTAATTCAACGAATTTAATTTTAAAAAAAATTCATTTTATTGTCAACACATTTTTTAATGACATTTAAGTTAGACTAGATAATTTTTTTGATCAAAAAATTCTTTTAATTCTACTTTTTTTTTTTAAGTGTCAATTTAAAAAAAATTTTTTTTGCCATAATTTATATGACATTAAAATTAGCAATCACTTAATTATTTTTTAGTTTTTTTTTAACAAAAAAATTTGTCCCAAAAAATTATTTTAAAAAAATTGCATTTTTTATTTTTTAAAATTTCTACATGTCAATTTTTTTTCTAATTATTTTTTTGCTATAATTTATTTGTTATAAAATTTTTAAAATGATTAAATACCTATATGATAAATTAATTTTAATAATTTTTTATCATTTACTTTAGTGACAGATAACAAGAAAAAAATTATTTTATCTTTTTATTGATGTCAAAAAATAATTAGATAAATTCTTTATTATGTTTTTATTTATTGTCATTATATAATTTATTATTTATTATTTACACACATTTATCAAACCTTGACTTAATTTTTTTACAAACGACTTTTAAGAAAAATAAATAATTTATTAAAAGATTTCTCTGAATTTCTAAGTGACAATCAAATAAATTTTAGTTTTAAAATTTTTTTGGTTAATTTTTATTTATTTCTTTACAGATTTCCAAGATTCTGCTTAGCAGTCGATTAAAAAAATTAAATATCAGTTCTAATGGCAGGAAGCATTAACTGGTAATACCTATAACACTTGAGTTTTTTTATAATAGAGCGTATAACTATGTAATAATTATATGTGTCACAGAGCATACGTGCACGTAGCAATTGTCTATTGTCCAATCAACAAGTGCCTAGTAGATAAAATTCACGAATAATTTCTTCAGTACGTTGACAATTGTAGTTGTCATCATACGTCTTGCTAAACTAAGTTATTCGCGTGTATTTTTAAAAAGTGGTTATAAATTATTTTTTAATTCATACTCCATTAATTTAATTTCAATACAATGTCAGACTTCGAGTAAGTTTTATTTTTGTTAAATAATTTATGTGTTTAAATTTCATTGAAAAATTTTGTTCAAGTTAATTTCTCAGATATTTTGAGTGTAAAAATAATTTTTTATTATTAAAACATTTATCGATAATTTGGTAGTGTACTCATAAAAAAGTTAACTTGTTAAACTTTATTTAATTACGGGTTTAGTGTTCTAATTTTGTTATAAATTTTTTAGCGTCGTTTTTTTTTATAAACTGTATAAAATGATATATCCGTTGATTATTGTTCATTTAATTTAAAAAAATTAGAAGATTATCTATATTATGAAGAGAATAAGCAAAAATTTGTGGCCAGTGTATTTATTTGATAAAATGGGTTTTTATGGTTAAATTTGGTCTCATTAGAAAGGTCTTGGCCTGGAGTTGTGTCTTTTCAAGGTTTCATATCATTCTCACCAATAGTTAATTTATGATGATAAGTATTTAGGCTGCATTCGAAAATGCTCCATCTCTAGCTACATAGTTAAGAAATGACCTTGTATCTCGTGAACTATTGACATTTTTAAAGATATAAGCTCACCCTGGCATTACACTTATCGAGACCTTTCATTTGAGTACCCACATCAATTTTTCATATATTTTATATATTTATATATTTATGTATATATGAAAAATATATAAAAATGCATGTGGGTACTCAAATGAAAGCTCTTGATGAGTGTAACATCAGGATGGGCTTATATCTTTAAAAAGGTCAATAATTAATAAAGTACAGTGCAATTTAACAAAATTCATCATTTAATAAAGCAAAATTTTATTTATTTATAGTTTACAAGTCGCGGCAGTCACATAGTGACTTAATTAACAAGAATTTTTTTTTAATTCAAAATCTAAAATACTGTAAAAAAATTTTCAAAGCTCATAATTTATTTAAAAAAAAAAATAATGAAAGTAATCTATAAATATATCATCGAAGAAACTAAATATTTATTATACAATTACCGATGATAAGTAAAAAATAACAAAATTTTAATTATGAATGAATCTTATCACCAATATAAATTACTTTCACGATTTGCATATATTTACAAGGTTGTCTTAGTCTTTCATATCACACCAGATAGAATAAACCCGATAACAAAATAATCCCACCAACAAATTGCGTACTGTCTCGTATATATCTCTAATCTCATCGTCGACTAAAATAGCTTGCATTGAAATTGCACACTTTACGTGCTTGGTAGTACCGGTGTAATTACATTTATCGGTTTTTTCCTCGTATTAAAACAAAACAAAACTTTTAAAAGTTTAACTTTAAAACCACAATTATTATTTACTCGTTTATTTCACGCATAACAGCTTAACTATCAAAACATAACTAATTTCTCTGCAAACCCTTTACTTTATTGTACAAAATTTTAACGTAACAAAAATAATTTAAAAATTAGAATTTTATAAAAATTAAATGACCTCCAAAATTTTTCAATAATTAATTTAAATTAAATAGTTAAAAAAAAATATTTTATAAAAATTTTTTTTATTATTAAAATAAATTGCTGAGTTAATAAAATAGGTAATTACATTAATTAAATACATTATAGCAATAAAGAAAGTGCAATGAACTTTTACGAGTATCCAGACTGTTGATGTCTTGTCATGTCTGCAAAATAAACGATTCTGAATAACTTGCCTCTCATTCTTACTTTGTAGTTTTAGTATTTTGTTTCTCATTTAAAAGATTTAATCCCACTCGGTACAGCGGTATCGGGCTCGGGTCTAAGCTTGATATCTTCCAGCAATTTCTCGGTTAATTTACAGAGGAATTACTTTATCTGTTGTGTGAATTACAGCTTGACATTAATTTCTTGAGACAAGTAAACGTTGTTTTAAATTATTATGTTATTGTTTCAATATATCGTACAAGGTCGTACTTTAGAAACACTGCTCTATTCCACATCATACTAAGCACTATATTACACATTCATACATGCTAATACAAAACTTTTTTCAATTAAGGGTCACTAACTACTTAAACATGCGTATGCTTTCATTACATGCATATTTTAAAACAGTTATGTACGACTTTAACACTAATCGGAAACAATTGCTTTTAAGCGACACCTTTTTTCACTATGACTTGCGTTTTATTTTAGCGAAATTAGACACGACTTAAATGGTGTGTAATTCATTAGTTCATTGAAATTTACGGTGATTTCAAATTAAACCGCTTCATGGAGTATGTTATTGCTATTTTTTTTTTTTAATTAATTTCAATATAATTAAACGTAAAAATTTATCAAAAATTTTTAAATATTAATTTTAACTAGCAACATTGCAGTCACTAAGTGACTGCCATGACTTGTGAACTATAAATAAAATTTATATTTGATTAAATAATGACTTTAGTGAAATTGCACTGTACTTTATTAACTATTGATGTTTTTATAGATATAAACTCATCCCAATGTTATACTCATCGAGACCTTTCATTTAAGTACCCACATGGCATTTTTCATATATTTTATATATATACTATTTGTGAAATATATAAATATATAAAATATATGAAAAATTGATGTGGGTACTCAAATGAAAGGTCTCTATAAGTGTAACATCAGGATGAGCTTATATCTTTAAAAATGTCAATAGTTCACAAGATATTTGTTAAAATGCCCTGTACTATCTTAATTATTAACATTTTTAAAGATATAA